GCAGGAGGCCTGTTCTCTGTCACTGGAGTGTAAATTTCGATGTGCATGTCCCAAACATCCACCTTATGTTATTAGTGCTTTTCTGTGTTGACTTATTTTTGGCCCCTTAACTTGCTTTGGGCTGATGGTGATGTGTTAACATTTCCTATTATCATTGTTGTGTTTCTGTTTCTTTTTCCAACACTGATAGTTTCTGCTTTATAAAGCCAACTTCTATGTGCTGTGGTTCCTGTATATTCTTAACTAACATAGCGTCTTTGTGAATTGAGTCTTTCAGCATCAGAAAGTGCCCTTCTTGGTCTTGTGTGGTGCCTTGGGCATGAGCTTGTACCTTGGTGGACATTCGGATCTCAACCTCTGCATTTTAATCTTACACACTTGCCTCGTATACTTTTGCCCGTTTCTTGATCTGTAGTCTTTTAAATCACTTGGCAATTGTGTCGCCTGTATAAAGCAGAGTGGGTCTTGTAAACCAATCTAAAATTTTTGGTAGGTGGGTTACACCTGGTCACATTTATTCATTTGCTGATAAAATCGATATGTTCAGTCTCATGTCATATAACTTGCTCCTGTATTTGGTATGTATCGTGTGCTTATTTTTTTAGTGTGGTTTAGTGTGATCTTTACTTTTTTTCTTTTTTTTTAAAATTCTTTTGGCATTTAGTAAAGTTTGTAATTTTGTTCTGTTGGCTACTTTTATAGTAGTTTCTTTCACAGTGCCTTAGTTCCTGTTTCCTTCCATTGACATTTTTATTTGGTTTGTTGGCTTTAAAGGGCATTCTTTTCTCCCACCTGTTTGCTGTTCACATTCAAGGAGCTCATTCTACTTTCCCTGTTTTCTGGTTCACGTGCCTCTGAATCATTTATTATATTTTTACCTTTTCAGAACAGCCCCCTGCCCCAGGGAAAAAAAAAAATTTATACTACTCGTTCATCCTTGTCCTCACTTTTTGTTTGAGTCTTTGATCAACAGGAACTCATTATTTTTGGTTATGCCAAATTTCCCAGTTATCTCTTGGTTTGAGGGAGCTTGTCTTACATAGGTTCCTCATGAAGGGCTTGTAAACACATATTCCTTGAGTTCTTGGATATTTAAAACTGTATTCTGTAGCTTTAATTTTGAAGGAGGGTTTGGCTGACATAAAATCCTTTGGCCACACTTTGTTTTTACTTGAGTTTATAAAAATATTGCTCCCCTGTTCACTTATTTTGTACATTGCTGTCAGAAGGTCTGATACTCATATGATTCTCTTTCCTTTGTTGAGTTAGCTGGTCTTTCGCCTAGAGTCCCAGAGTTCTCTCTGTGAGTCTTCACAGCACACAGGGTGTGCCTGGGAGGGGCCTCTCTGGGTCAGTTTGCTCAAGCACATGAAGAACCTTTCTAATTCCTCCCTTTTTCTTCATAAAAACATTTCTAGGATTTTCGGGCCGGCCCGGTGGCGCACTGCTACTGTGCGCCACTTGGGAGCGTGGTGGTGCTCCTGACGAGGGTTCGGATCCCACATACAGAGCGGTTCCCGCTCACTGGCTGAGCGAGGTGCGGGCGCA